TTAAGAAGAAAAAACCAACAGGATACACAGAGGTCTGCACTTAAGTCAGATTCTTCAAAATGAAAAATTACCTATAATGCTGGTTTGCCATTTTTAGGGAGACAACACGGACAAGATGACAAAACTTCTGGTCCTATTAATGTGGACACCCTCAGACACTTTCACACACAGCACATGCACTAAAGGGACATAGTCAGAAGGTTTAAGTCTGGCAACAGCTTTCCTTAAGTGAGTTTTAGTGCTTGTGAAACAGGCCAGCCAGGCAGCCTGCGAGAGCCGGGTCCTCTCTTTATCTGTACAGCAGGTGGCACGAGTATCAGCAGGGAAGAAAATCTCTATCCGCAATGCCCCATTTCTGAATCGAAGGGACAGACCCCCAGGGCACAAGAATGTAATCCCAGCTCTTCTGCGTCCTTACAGCGATGCTAACAAGTGCGCCAGCTGTGTTCACATTTTGGGGGTTTTCTTTAAAAATAAAACTAATAAAAGCCTAACTATTTACAGCACATGTCAGCTGACCAGTGCCATAGCTCACCATCTACTGAAAGCCCTGTGCCAAGTGCTCAGCTGGTGGGAGCGAGTGAGCACTGCTGGCCCAGCGGCCGGCCTGGCCCCAGGCCTCCACCCACTGGTTAGCGCACGTCTTCACCCAAGGAAATCTTCCACACAGCCCCGCAGCTCACCCGGGTCATCGCCGCAGCCACTGCCCCAGCAACAACTGCAATAAATCAATGAAATGTAACAAAATACATGAGGTTCTTTACAGGAGGATGGAGAGTTTAGGTTAACAGTAGGAGGAATTGAACCCAGGATCTTGGATTCCTTAGGCACCGGAGCTAAATGACCTCATTCCATCAGTTGAAAGACAGCAGAGGGCTCAAGAGCCTCCACACAATAAACCCGTGAAGACAGCCAGCTACGCACTGCACAGGGCTTACGCTCCCATTTTGCGGTGGTGTTCCAAGTCATTTCCACTGTAGTAAGAAAAAAGTCTGCCCCACCCCAGCTGCATTGCATTGGTTAATTGAATCAAGATGTTTTGTTTGAATTACATAGAAATCTGACTATCTCTTATTAGAAGAGGGGAGAGGGGGGAAAAAAAAAAAAGGAAAAGGCAAATAAACGGTTCAACCAAAAAGTCATCCAGTTCTCTCCAGTACCCTGGAGGCTTCAATTAGCTCGCAGCTTCGATAAACTAGGTAAAGCACTAAGAGTAACAAGCACACAAAATAACCTGGTTAAAGAGCTTAAATCTCCAAGAAATACAAAGAGAAAAAAAAAGATAGTTCCCACTTGATGAATGGGGAATTTATATCCAAAACTACACAACTCACCTAAAACAGAAGAGAAAATCTGCAATATAATGAGAAATTAAATTTGCTTGCAGAATCCACAACCTCCTCATCATTAACCCAAGTTTCTTTCTGTTTGTGTAACTGGGGTGGGAAAGGCAGCAAACGAAGTAATTATACTATAGGTGTGACAAAAAGGAGCTTTCCTTCGGGAAGTATCTTCAAAAGAACAAACTGCCACCCTTCTACCTGAAAACCACCCCAACCCATCCACTTCGTATCCCTGTCGACAGCTGTGACTTTGGAGATGTTAGCAGGAGAAGCTCACAACCTAATTTCTAGGAACTACAAGTAAGGTTAAGAACCACCACTCTGCTGTTAAAGCGGAGGCAGCGTTCTGAAGTCAGACTCTGATCCGGGATTCTGACTCGGAACCCTGCAGGAACCCAAACTCTCTAATGCATCCTACGCATCTTTGTCGGTGGGAGAGGGTACGCAGCAAATTTCAGTGAAGAAGCTCCCTTTCACATAAAAAAGCGATAGTTTCCAAGAGTGAACGGAAAAAAATAACTGCAAGGTCCTTCAGATCTAAATCTAGTCCCCAGAGCAAAGGTCACAGCAGAAATGTTTTATTCAGCATAAGAACTTTTGGAATTCATTCAAGGAGAAGAAAAAGCTTAACAACAACAACATGGCTGACATTTTTTTCCCACTGAACCATTTCTTCCTCTTTAAAACAGGGATACAAGTTTCCGTAATTCAGCAAACACCAACAAATTGCGCCTCGCCACAGCAATGAGCAGGTAAACCAAGCCAAGAGTCCAAGCATCTGTCTCCAGAAGCATAAAAGGCAGGAAAGCAGGGACACAAACACATGGAAGGGTGGAGCTGTGCTGCTGGTGGAGCTATGGTCACTTGCAGCAACTTGTGATGTAGTCCCTGAACTCGGCTAAATTTGGTGCACGTTTAGTTCAGTGCAACATTGGGTAATGGCAGGTTACAACCTCAAGGAGTTGGAATGCTTTGTTGGTCTCGTGAGGTTTGCAGGATGCACCCACGGCGTGCTCAGAGGTGTGCAGTCACAGCACAGGCAGCAGTACCAGACGCAGGCGCGTAGTTAGCCCGGGCTAAGCAACCCAACAAACAATAAAGCTGCAGTAGCGCGGACAGGAGTGTATCTCTACCCAGTAGCAATGCCTCTCCTGGCTTTTTCATCATCCTGAGAGGTATCCAAGTAGTTAATTTAACTTGTGCCTGCTCATGACAGGAGTCTATTTCTGAGTACTATACAGAGATCACCTCATCTTGGACTCTAAGCCCTTCAGCTCCTTTGGGGGGAAGAGAACACTGCTGCCCAGATTCCCAGGCTGGGTCAGAACACACATGACGCTGTGGCAGAGTTTTCTGCTTGTTTCAAAGACAGAAAGATTAGCCCTAAACAGTGCAGACTGTTTAGTTAAGCTCCTAAGTAGTTATACTTACTGCTGTGGAAGTGTTTGAGCATGACAGGCTAGACAATTAATTTCTCCGTGCACAGACACCTACAGCATAACTTTGTTATTATATTTGCATTACACGCGTTGATTAAGATGTAGTACACAGGATTCGCTCTCACTCCTCCAACCTTGTTTAACTGGCTAAAATGGAGAAATTGATATAACTGTACAGAAGAGAGACTCATTTGCTAGACACTGCACTACTGTTGAGGGGTAGAACAAAACAAACAAAAAAAACAGACTTAGCTTCGAGTTTAGCTTCCACTCACCACACTTCTGACCAAAACTGTGCCACCTCCAGACCTGTGGCCTAAATCCAATTTAGTGACTGCCTTTAAAAGCGAGTGAAACAGCTTTATCAGGCTGTACTCCTTATTTCTCTCATCTATGTTATAATTTCCCCTACTGAACTCCAGATTGCACTTGTAGTTTTGAGATATGCACACACGTAGAGGAAAGGGAAGAACCAACCCTCGGCAAGAAACTGCCCGACTGAACCCAGAGGGTGCTTCCATGCAGGAGTGCCTGTGGGCAGGATGCCTACTGCTGTTAGCAGGGGAGCTATGAATAAAAAAGTTCTAAGATTAGAGTGAGCTAGGAAAGGTTAGGGCTCATTGACCACACAGATGACTTCCGATGGACATTTTATACACAGTTCTTAAAAAGAGTAACCAGGCTCTTTTTAATAGTATTGCTTCTGCTGCTTTTTACATCAGCATCTCTCAAATCCCCACAGAAAGCATCAGAATCTTCACTTTGCATGAGAATGGACAGCTTGCTCAAATGACAAATTCATTTAGCGGTACGAACTACTCCCTTAACTCATAAGCTAATACACTGCCTTACATCATGCTGCTTCTCCAGCAGTAAGATAAGCTTCAGAAGACTCAGACTTCAGATGGGAAAGTTTCCAAATGCAGATTCATACCAAATATCAACACAGCCAAAAATAAGCTAGAAATTTCATAGAAAAGGTCAAGATGGCAAATCTAGGGCTTTTGCTTCTAGTCAGGAAACTGCCCCCCCCACACCCACATGAACAGCCCATTGTTGGAATTTCCAGCTTTGGCCCCTACCACAACTTGTAAGCACAAAATTAAAAAGGAAAGCCATGGAGTAAAGGGAGTGGAAGTATCCCATCACATCATTAAAGTTCCAAAATTATTTAGAATAACTCTGTGATGAAAACACGAAGGAAATAACTGAAGATCTCTATTTAAACCAGCTTGACCATTCTGAATGCCAAAACAAATTCACAAGAAATACTATGACAAATAATGCTTATTAAAACGTAGATGGAACATGCCAGACACATACAGACATAAAAACTGAATCCACAATCAATTCACTTCGGCATCAGCTTTCCACTGGCCGCTTGTACCAGCTCCTTTGGGAAAAGAAACCCTTTAAACAGTTCCTATAGAGTAATCTGGGGGGAAAAGGCTTCTTCCTGACTTTTCCTTAACTTATTGTTCTCCTCAAGATCTTGGTTAGATACTTCTTTTTGAAGCAGCTCTGCCTAGTCTCATTTTCCCTCTTTGAATCCTGCTCAGCTCCACATCTCGGGTCAGTGCATTCTGTAGGCTAGTTTCCTAAGCCTCCACAAACACTCACTATGCTTAATGTGCCAGTTCATGATTTAACCAACTGCTGCTCTCCTCTGTTTATGTTATTTACCTAGAAACTGGCAAGCAGAACCTAGACATGAATCTGGAACTGAATAACAGAACCACTGTTCTACATAAAATTACTCACAATCCCCAGACCATCAGTTTTAATCCAGGCTACTATATTGCACTTCTGCCTTTACCCATTCATTCCTCCCCACACATCTACAAAAATACTGTTACTTTGTTACAAAATATTACTGAAGATGGCAAGTTACTCAAAGCTTTATCTGTCTCAGTAATCCAGATGGATTACAGAAAATATTCCAGATGCATATATGGAATATTTGGTCACAAAAAAAGCTATGCACAGAGAACTTAATTTAAAAAATAAACATCAACCATTTTGTCAACGTAAAAACTAGATGAACTAAAAGCCAACCAAGCCCTACATTGGCATTTTTGTAAAGAATCGTGAAGCACAGACATCCCTGAATAGCAGATGCTGACAGATGACCACCAAGGAAAGACCCTCAGCCACCTCAAAGCACAAAAAAACACAACGTGAGGATGCTTTTATAGAAAAATGAGGATTTGTTTCCTACCTGTCAATGATCACGGGGTCAGATGGAGTCTCATTTCTGTTGCCACAACTTTTCTTCTCACAGCACCGACTAGAGGGAGAGGAAAAAAAAAAAAACCAATATTAAGGAATTACTGTGACGGATGATAGCAAACGAACCAGCTAAAAGTCTTGTCTGCAAACCTTTAGGACTCACTACATGCCTACAAGAATGACTGAGAAAATTCTGGCTAAGCTTTCTGGAAGGAAGAAGAATTAAGGGAATTGGGTGCCCAAGCCCTGGTTGATTCCAGCTGGAGTTTGGCACTTGGCTCCCAGTAGTCTTTTCTGAAATTCCCAGCCAAAATTAACAGCAATCCGCTCACATGTAGACTAAGGCACCATTTATAAAGGTTTACTAAATGATTAACAGATGTCACAGTGACATTACAGGCATGAGTATCGTGTGTTATATATGCTTAGAAGTCCATCAAAAGAAGGTGTTAGAACTAACTGTGAGCAACCTAATGATTTTTCATATTCTAATAACAGAGTTACTGATTATGAAATATCTAGTAGCCCCTAAGTTTCATATGCCCATAGAAAGCTTCGACATTGCAGTAGCACCAGTGGGGAAAAGGAGAAAAAAAAAAAAGAAAAGGAAAACAGAAACTGAACATACTTAGACCTTACTAAGGATCTGAAGAGATGTTTTTCACGTTGGCATTTTGTCTGTAAATCCTTTTGCAATTGTTTCTGTGATGACAAGCCCTTAAGATTTTATACCATGTGGCCAGTAACACGAACATTCAGAAATCAGAACTCTCCCTCAGGAGCTTGCAGTAGGGTTCGTATTGTGGAATGGTGTCCAGGTTTTGTCCATATCTCTGCGCGTGTGCATGAACCCACGTGCAAAGGAAACTACGTGTGTGCACGCGCACGTACGGATGCGTACGTACAGGCACGTATATCAGGAACGGGAAAAGAAGAATACAACCCACACGCAGGAACTATCCCATGTTCTTCACTCCCAGTGAATTCAACTTCCTTCAGGAAAGAACAGAATCACTGCAGAAGTCCCGTATGCCTCAAAACTCAACAGATCAGATTCTGCCTTAAGTTACAGAACTGCTTTTCCAAACTACGTTTGTCACATTCTGCTGAGGCTGTTCAGATTTACACAGGCGGAATCAAGAAATTGTTTAGGGGGTTGTACAGTGGTATCACAGGTGCTCAATACATTTGCAAAATTCAGAAGTCAGCCTGAATCCCACATATTTCCAACTGAGGAGAAATTCCAAGCAGAAGAAATTAAAAAAGAAAATATAAAAATGCTTGAATTCACTGAAAACAGTCCAAAGTGAGAGTAGCTCTTTTTCCTGAAATGCCTAATATTCAGTAATAAATACCTATAATAAGCATTGAGCCAAAAAGAAACTTGTTTCAGATATGAAATCTTTTCACTGTGTGCATTTTCTCCTGAAGTTAGTGTGTGCCAGAAACTTCCCATTCGCAATTGCCCAGCAAGACGAGACACAACTAGCAGATCTATTTGAATAGCAGTTCTAACTGTTTCAACATTTTTACATTCCCTTTGCCTCAAACCTGCACTTATTCATCGATGCTAGTCCTTTTAAAATAAAAGGATTCACTAAATATTTAAAAATCCCTGGGGCAGACCCTCTAGCTGCTGTAAATTGTCATAGCTCCATCGACTTCACTGAAGCTATGGTAATTCACCCTAGCTAAGAATATCCCACTGCCTCCTTCTCCCAACTTTGTTTAAGTGTATTCGCTGCCTAATGAATGTTTATAAAGAATTGGCTTTTAGTATAAAAGTGTGCATGATGCGAGATATTTTCTAAAAAAATACCCCTCATTTGGAAGAATGTAAATTTGGCATATACTTCTGACGCGTCCAGTATAACAATGCGCTGGAAATTACACTGGGGAGAAAATACCTCCTTGGTTTACACGCCGAGATAGTAAAACAACAAAATTCAAAAAATACTTCTGTAGTGTTTCGGTTTGGATTTTACAGCTAGCTGAAACAGTAGTAATTTCCTTTCTTTGCAGTAATACTAAATAAGATCTCCTTTAGTTGTTTAACTTATGCAGATGGTCATAAAAAAATGTTTCTGCTTGCACTACATCACAGTAACGTTCAGCCCAGCATTTTAGCAAAAGTACCTTTCGAATGTTTAAATCCCTGTTTCCAGGTATTTCGTGACAGTATCCAAGCACTAATGCTTCCTCTGCATTTGTTTCACAAGTGCTGTCTGGACCAGAATTGAGTTGTTCCAATCGAAGTCAACAGCAAAAGTCCCAAGCTCTGGTGGTCCAGGATCAAGCCTAAAATATTCTCTTAAAGCAGATTATTGGCATGACTTCACCAATACTGACACTTCTGCTGTGATGTTGTGCTAGGAACATACCTTTAGAGATGCTCATTTGCTTAAAAGAAGAATATCAAGGCCTAAAATTTTATTTGCAACACCTTTGCTTGTTATACTTTCCCCTCTAGTTAGATCTGCATGGGAAAAAATAACGATCTGCATTATGAACAGTCCTGAAACAAACCCTAAAACACAGAAACCAAAAAGCTACCAACACCAGATCTACAAACTGACTACTCCAGAAAGCTCGTGTCAAATGCAAACTTGCATCCTTTCTCCCCCTCGAACTTGACTAAAATGGTTTTAAAATTCAGCCCTTCGCTTCCCTCCCCTCACCACCCCCCCAAAAAAAAAAAAAAAAAAAAATCTGTCTCTAATTTCAAACTCAAATAAGCTCACAGCATGGTGGCCTTTGTTTTGTTTTCTTCTCCCCAACTCCTCCCTGCAATTGCATAACAAAAGTGTCTAAATTCACACCATCTGGCCGATAAAGACACGGGCCCCAGTGGCCGCCTGGCCCAGCTGATTAGAGCTCCCGTCTAGTCTGAGCCTTGTGGCGAAAGTCACAGCTGTGGGGCTTGCTTGCACTCAATACAGCTCTGTTATTAGCCAGCTGTAGGCCCTGAGACTACTTCTGTTCAAATTATAATACCTTTTAACCCTCTGAGCATTGAGGGCATAGGGGGTTGCTGGCAGCAGCATAACAACTAGTTTCCTCTTAGCCGATAATTGGAAGAAAAAGAAGAAGAGAAAAAAGTTGTTCCAGGAGAGGAGCCTGTTTACCTTGATTCCCAACCATTGGGGGGAAAGACTGTGTATTTAAGATAGACCCGCCTAATAGGAACCATTCCCATTAGGCCGTGTAATAACCCAAATGAAAAAATTCAGATCTGCAAATAAATAAATAGAGCCTCTCACTGAAAGCACTAATTATTGAGAGTTTAACTTTCAATTGGTATGACAGATTGTTGCAGCCGTATCAATATTTAGACAACTTTCCTGCTAAGCATGCATCTGTCACTGTCTGAATGGAAGATGCGGAGTTTTGGATGCACTTGCCTCTATACTGCAAGAATATCTCTCCGTGTGATTACGTACAAAAAAGAAAAAAGAAAAAAAAAGCCTACCTTCAACTAGTGAGGCTTGGAAGAAAAGGAGCGGAAAGACAGGCAGACCCTTCTTTTTAAAAACAGCAGGCATCAATTTGGACAGCAGAGTGGGTACAGTGCATTAAATTTTTATATACTGTTACTAATGCAAACTAAACTAGGGCCTTTAAAAATTGATGCTGCCACTTAAGCAGCACACAATGAGGGAGATTTGATTATTGTACTTAAAAGAAATAAAATAAAATGTCAAGTTTAACTAGAGTTGGATCCATTCCCTTGGCATTATTCGAAGTGATATGCGTAATGCCTCTTCAGAATACGCAGCACCCTGTTCAGAGATACTTTGGGAAAACACGACATTTAAAATCAAATGTCTTCATTAGGTTACGGAGCGCTTTTGATTTCGTTCACTAATCTGTGTTTTACATGGGAAGGACGTCCCCGAGTTGTAATTCTTCCCTGGCTAATCTATCAAGCAGGAGAGTTCAGTATAATCAGAATAATGCTTTACATTTGTAGAACACTACCTTAAATCAAGCACGGAATATGTTTATAGGCAGCAGTGGAGGCCAGGTATATAAAAGCTGAACAGAGCGTTTGATACCACAAAGGCACGGAGAGGAAGCAGTGGGAAAAGCCAAATTAATTTTATTTTAGGTAAGTGCATTTGGACAGGAAAGCACTGACGATTGCCGAAATATTTTACCTTCTAAAATAGAACCGCGCTTTACACAGGAAGAGAGGAGAAAGATGCAGTGGCTAATGGTTATTTAGATATCGCAAACCAGGACCCAACCACACAGCAATTTCGAAGCGTTTTTTTCTCTAATGTTCCCCTAATTATAGTGAAGAGTTTCAACAATACGGGTAGCATATATATTTAGATATATACGCAAATTCTAACATGCCAGAAAGTAACAGAACCTTTGATCTTTGCTAATATACCTACAGCACACCGTGTGCATCTTGCACACGACGTACGGTTGTGCACACACATAGGGGTGTTGGTCAAAAGGAACAATGCTCGTTTTCTTGATTAATGAGAGCAAGGCACAACAGATAAACATTTTAAATACAGTAAGAATCAAGAAAATATATAAGTAATGGAATACTTGACATAACTGTTAAGTACTGAAACTGAGACTTTCTCTTGACAAGCCTGTCCAAAAGAGCTTCTCTTACTACTATATTAAAAGGATACTTGGAAAAAAAATAAATAAAAACTCAAGTAGCAAACGGCAACATTAAAACAAGTAACATTCTGTGCAACAGCTTAACCCCCTCCCACTAATACAATAAACCATAAACTGTGTTTAATAAAGGTCAGGATTGGTTTTGCCTTTCATTTTATGAAAGAACATGCTACGCCGAATTTAACATATTTTAATATAAGAACATGGACTGTTTGCATTGTTATATGTATCAAAAAAAATTTAATTACACAAGAACAGGAAAAGTAATAAGTTACCATGGAAGCACGATGTACATACATAAGGTGTATGTAACTTCAGACTTATACAAATGTTATTAAAAGCATCCTCAACTCTTTTTACTCTCTAATTTATAACTTTACATGCTAAAAATAGTGTGTTTTAATTAAAAGGTGGAAATTCCCT